ATAAAATAAAATAATTAATTTTAAAGTAAAAAAATTAATTAAAAATAATTTTAAAAATAAAATTCGGGTATTCGGGCCGCTCGAAGCCCGAAAGGAATTCGGGCCGGGCTTAGTCATTCGGGCTTTTTAAAAAACGGGCCTGTTCGGGTTCGGGCCATTTGGGCGGGCTTATTCAGGCCGAGCTCGAATAGGTCCGGCCCGCCCGAATTCCCAACTCTATCCCCACAGATGGTTGGCGAGGGAACGTAAAATGGGGTTCTTGCCGGAACTGCTACCAGAGACACTGATGGGTCGAACCCTACTTAGAGTGTGTGTAAATAAACAATTTACAATTGAAGTTAACATCAATTGAAGTTAGAAATTGAAATTAAAAAAAAATGACGTGATTTATATTTAGATATTTTTTAAAAAAAATTAGTTGAACAAATTAAAAATTTATTTGAATGATTTAATTGATAAGTTAGTTGAAGTGAATGAAATAACATAAATAAATAGAGTTGGTTTATAATTTAATATTTTTAAGAAAAATTATTAAGTTTAAAAATTACCAGTTTTAAAAATTAAATACAAATACAAAATACATAATAAGTCAAATATCTTAATTTTTAAAAAGCTAAAATTAAACAATAAATTTGAAATATTCAAAAGAGCTAAAATAAATTCATAAATTATAAAATATTCAATTTATATAATCTACAATTTAATTTTAGTATACAAATCTTATTTCATTTTAATCTTTATATTTTTCCCCTCTATTTAATGTTTCACAAATAAAGTTATATTAAATGGAGTGTATTTTAATTAAATAATGAAACAAGATTTTAATTGTTTTTCCTTTACTTTGTCTTAGTTTATAAATTATAATTAAATATTAAGTAATAAAACCACAGTACAATCATCTTCTTCCTCCTCAAAGTTGAGTGCCATGCATATACACTCAAAAATATACATAGTATCACAGTGAGCACCTTCTTCCTTTTGCTCCTCTTTTCCTCTAAGCCGTTTGTTTTTTTTTTCTATCTTGCAGAGTCTTTGCAAACCCTTTCAACTTCATCTCCCTTCTATACTCCTTCCCTCCCTTTGCTTTTCCCTCTCCCCACCACTAGCATCATCTCCCTCTCCCACCACCGTACATTTGTCATCTCCCTCTCTACTTCAATGAATGAAGGAAAGCAAAGCAGACACGATGATCCTCGACTTCCATGGACAAACAATTGTGGCTAGCACTGATATGGTTAGTGGCAACAATGTTGGAGATAACTGTTGGTGCTTATTAAAGTGAAGAATGCGCGGGGTAAAGTGAGAGAATATGGACCGGAAGAGGAATCTGACAATAAATGCCCAACCAATATTCATAATGTGCGTCAAAAAAGCTTTCTCATTTGACTTTGCAATCAATGCTCGTTCAAAATTTTTTTCATCCAAAACATTTAATGAGTTTTTTTTATTTCAACTGAGGTTGGACTTTCTCTAACCTCAATTAACAAGTAATCTAAACATGTACTTAATAGTGTTAAAGTATTTTATTGATTTAATGATAGGAAGGATTAATGTGTTTAATTGGTAAAAATATAAGGGTTCAATTCTAACAAATAAATTATAGGAATCTAATAAAAATTATATAAACCCTGCTGATGTATTTTCTTTTTGGAATTTGTAAGAGCCTTGGAAAATAAAATGCATGGTGTGAAGTGAGCAACCTTATCTTTCCTATGGACTGAAAGTAAGGGGTTTGATGATTGGAATTTGGAGGCATTATTGTGTTGGACGTAAGTTAAATAGTATTAAATTAATCTGTCAACTGTGCAGGTGTATTTCCCCTGAACTTTACACATGAGATATCTTGCTGGCTACTACCACGTTTCACAATCTTTTTTTTTTCTTTCCACTGTTAGATTAGACCCAATACGGTCTCTAGGTTGGCACAGCATGTTTAGAATTAATAATTTAAATAGATCAGGCTTATTTAAAACTAGATGTTTTAGCTATATTTATTTAGATCAGACTTAAAATTTATAAAATATATAAAAAAAATTTATATATTTAAATTTAACTCTAACTTCTTAAGCTTTGGGCTTATTAATTGATCCAAATACTGAATTATTAAATATTATTTTATTTTTTATTTAATTTTAATTTTTATCTATTTTATTAAGATAAAAAATAATTTGAAATTTAAATTAAGCCCATTTGAGTTCAGCTTGGCTCAAATTTTTTTGAGTTTATTCGAGCAGTTCAAATAAGCTTAAAATAAAAAAAAATAAACTATCAAACCCAATATTAAGATTTTTAAATTTATTTAGGCTGATTTATTAAGTTTGATTCAAATTACCGCCTTAAATGTCATGATGCGAGGATATAATTATCAGTCTCACAATATAACTTTTATTCGACGGTGCTGGTATTTTCACCAAACTCATTAGTGCATATAGACTACTGAGGGCCGATTGGAGCAAGTGGGTTAGTAATAGCGTTCTTTAATTACTTGATGCCACTTCAAGAGGCGTCCAATGTGATGATTGACGAAGACGACAAGTTTTGTTGGTTTCTCTGACCTCTCTGCCAAAAGAGAAGGCAAAGAAAATAAGAAAGTATTTTCTATGGGCGTGTCCCACTGTCTGTAATGAAAAAATATCAATGATCACTGGGGGGAGTGCCGCAGAATTATCTATCTGAGTTGAGAGGTTGGTGCTTTGGATTTTTCTTGCCTTGGTTTTCAAAAGCGAGATCTTCAGAATAATTGTGATATTCCATCTTAAAGGTTGTCTTTTTATTGGTGGACATGTTCTGGGTCCTATATTTTCTACTGTTGTCTATTGTTGTCCTGGCCGTCTTTTTATAACCTTGATTGCTTCTTGGATGGTTAAGAAAAGCTCAAGCTGCCATGACATGGTCCTGTCAACTAGAAGCTAGTAAAGTAATTGTGATCGATCTTCCGCTCCATGATTAAAATGAACCGGTTATGTGGATTAACCTTTTGCTGTACATATCTCTTGTACCAGTATATTGTGAACTGATACTATTTATCTAACCCGTATTTCCATTAAATGTTATTGTAACCACCGTATTTTCTTCACTAATAATGAAAGCCGGAAAATTTCCCTTTATAAGGTGTTGACCCTAGAGATAAAAAATAGGCAAGTCTGACCGATCATGATCTTATCTCTTAAGAGTTTAAGCTCATGGGCTTGGTTATTCTAAAATTCATTATTTTTTTAAACTTTACTCTTATTCAAAAGGCTTAAAAGTTGGGCTTGTAAACTTGTTCTTACTTTTTTTTTGATTTTTTTAAATTAAAATATTTAATTAAAAATTTTATATTTTTTAGATATAAGTTATAATATTCAAATATTTAAAATAAATAAATAGAAGTTCGTATATTAAAATATAAATGTATATTGTAAATTTCAAATTTAATTTAAAAATTAAAAATATTTTATTTTTTAGAAATAAAAATAAAACGAACTTAAAAAGGCCGCCCAAACTTAAATACCCCTTTAGGGCTTATTAAAGCAAGTTTTAAAGCCTGATTTTAAAAATGTTATTTTTTTAAATTTAAACTCTTATCAAAATAAATTTAAATAGATAATTCATCAAGTTTAATCTTTATTCTTTAACTCTAATTGACCTATAATTTATTAGCCTTAATTTGGAGTCTGAAAGTGCTAAGGCAAAAGGGATGTCACTTTCTGTTACTTGCCCACATGCCATATCATACCAACTCGTGGCCGTTCATTTTTTTCTTAACTCAAAATCTTTACAAGTTTATGACTTTTTTGGTTTATTACGGCTTGCTTAATTTCAATCTATGTGCGACTTTTTGATTTGTTTCTATTGACACTTTATCCCAATAATTGGTTCGGTGAGCTTCTACACTTTAGATCTTATTATGAGCTTTTGTTCAAAATCTCTCTCTCTCTCTATATATACGCGCACACATACATCTCTGTTATTCTATACGATCTCTGCTTTTCCTAAACTTATCTTTCTCTGCACTGGGGAAGCAAGCTCTTGTATTCTGCAAGTGCTTTCTTTTTCATATTTTGTGTCACCATCTTGTGTTTCTAAACTGCAAAACATGCTACTTGGAAGCTCCTCAGCTCCAATTCATAGCTCATGGCTACATCATTATTCCAAAGATTGCTCCTTTCCTGAGTCAGAACCCATTCTCTATCTTCCTTGGACGAGATCAGTTTCACTGACCAACTCAAAAGATGCAACGCAATCCTGTACCTCCGACATAGACTTTCTCAACCCATCAAAGCTTAACGGCAAAAATCGCTTACCACATCTACGTTGTATGATCTCCCATAAGAATGAACAGGACTTTGAGGTGAAAGAAAGTGATGATGAAGCAAAAACCCATTTGAAAAAACTTACTCTCAAATTCTACTGAGCTCTGGTTTGGGTAACAGAATGGTGAAGCATGAAGAGGAAGTAGAAATGATGGGCGATGGAAAGGGAGGCAGTGGATGTGGTGGACATGGAAGTAGATGCGATATCTGTACTGGTGGGGGTGATAGTATGGATGCTTATTATCAGAAGATGATATTAACTAACCCCAATAATGCTCTTTTGCTTGGAAATTATGCCAAGTTCTTGAAAGAGGTACAATAATTAGTATATATTTAACTTAATGATCATGGCATGTTAATTTTTTTGTTGTTGGGATTTTTCTGATTTTTAAAATGTAAATAGGTGGTTGGAGATTATGAGCAAGCAAAGGAGTATCTTGAAAGGGCTGTGTTGGCGAATCCAGGAGATGGCAGTCTTCTGTCTCTCTATGCAGAATTGATATGGCAAACGGAGAAGGACTCAGATCGAGCTGAAGTCTATTATGATCAAGCTGTTCAAAGTGCCCCTCATGATTGGTGAAAAATGATCCTTCATTTTATGTTCATCATTTTTTTTTTTTGGAAGTAAGGTTTGGCAAATAAAAAAATGTGTTTTTCTATAAAAAGAAATGAGATAAGTGCATTTTTTTTTAAAAAAACATTTATCTAACTACAAAATAATGCATATATAGTGGGTATCTTTTCTTGAACCTTGATTTGCTGCATTACAAAAGATTAGTTTTTTTCACTAGAACTAACCTTGTTGGAATTATGATCATCATTTTATTGATAATCTAATCTACAATTATTGAATTAAGCTTTCCGTAAAGACTTGGCTTTGTTTCTTCCTAGTTTATGAAACTAATGCGGAGGGCCTAATCATTTGCAGTTATGTGCTTGCTTCTTACGCTAAATTCCTGTGGGATGCTGAAGAAGACGAGGAAGCCAAAGAGTGGAGCCATAAATCTGATCAGAGGCATACATATACTCTAACTGCAAAATAAGAGAAGTCATCTTTTCAATTCGTAGTGTTCCTGAAAGTTTTGCAATTTGTATATCTTTAGCGTTTGAAATCGTACTGTGAATAAAGAGCTGCCTTTTTGTTTTTATCACTTTTTTTCCCACATTAATTTTAGAGTAGGTAATTTGGATGAGCTATACTCAATTCAAGTCGGATTTATTCAGATTAAACTTAAAATTTTTAAACTTATAAAAAACTTATATAATCAAATTCGATTCTAACACTCTGAGGCTTTAGGTTTATTTAGGTCAATTTGAATATTAAAATTGCTAATTTTTTTTCACTTTTCTTAGAAAAAACAAATTTCAATTTTTATTTTTAAATTAATTATTTTAAGTATTATAAAAAAAATATAAAATATGCATTTTAAAATACTTAAAAAATGTATAAGACTCATTTTTTTAAAAATTGTAGGTTTTTAAATTTTAAAATCAATATTAAATGAATTTAAATATTTTAAAGATATTTTATATATTAAAAAGAATAAAAATATTAATATTTTTAATTTTTAAGTAAATATATATAATACTGTACTCATACATATATTTTGTTAGTATAAAAGCTAAGAATTAAAGAATTAATTAATATTTGATTTATCTGACGTATTTTAAAAAACTGTAAAATGTTATTCATCTATTTGGGTTAAGTGTAAATATAATTGAGTTTGTTTAAATTTTTTTAGACTTATTTAGACCGCTCAAGTAGACCTAAATATTAAAAATGTATAATTTTGTTAAGGCTGACCCCAATTTTTTTTTTAATTTATTTGGACGGGCTCCACTAGCATAATTAACTGTCATTCCAATGGAATATTGCAATATCATGGGCTCAAATAATCCCCACACACACACGTGTGTGTGTGTGAATGGTTTTTTCTACAGTAGAGGGGCAAAGTCAAGCAAAAGAGATTGAAGTTATACTATCTTCATTTTAAATTTATAAAATATTTTTTAAAAAATTTAATATTCTAAAATATAAAATATTTTTATAGAAATAAAGTTTTGTTGATAACGATTTTTTAATATTATGTTTTTTATATATCTCTTTTTTTAATATTTTTTACAAATAAAGTATTAAATTAAGAATATCTTTAAGAGTTTATAATTTTTTCTAAAACAATAAAATTATAAAGTGTATTTGATAAATTTTATTAATATATTTAATTTTGTCTAAAAATATTTTATAATTTGAGATGAAAAAAATAATAAAAAAATTTATTTATAATCAAGTAATCAATACTCGTTCTTAATAGTATTACATACATTATATTGGATAGGTAAAATAAAAAAGAAAAAATGATAATAAAATCTTTTTAAAATATATAAATAATAATTTAATTCTTTAAAATATTATAATTTCTCTGAAGTCTTTAGAAATTTTTCTGACATTAATGAATTATATAAATTATTAAATTGCTGTAGTTGAAAATAAATTATTCACAACTCTTTTTCTTATATTCGCACTTTCTATTTTATATTCGTAACAATGCAATAGGAAATCACAACTTCACATGTTAAATTTCTTATTTGCTATTGTATTATTGTGAATATAAAAAGAAAATTTATAAATCATTAATTTTCAATAAGGATAATTTAATAATTTATATAAATTCATTAATAATAGAAAAGTCTTTAGAAACTTTAAAAAAATTATAACATTTCGAGGGATCAAATTATCATTTATACATTTCAAATAAATTTTATTTATCATTTTCTCAATAAAAAATGTTCATGATATTAGTGTTGTCATCAGTATATGGTTAAAATCTGAAAATTTTTGTTATATCATATTAAAAATATATAAGAATAAGAAAATAATAATTGAACAAACTAATTTTGAAATACAGTAATTTATTAATAGAAAAGAGCCTCTAGTCATTTATTACAAATAATACTTAAACATCATCATTATATTATAAGGGGGGAAATAATCAACAGAGAGACAAGGATAGTAAATCAAACCAAGTGTAATGCATTAGTTAGGATAAGAGATTATTTTATTGGCAACAAAATTATAATAAAGAAAATATTTTATTTCTAATAATATATTAATAATATCTATATGTTGATAAAAGCAAATAATGAAGCTGCCTAAGTCCAAGTCCATATATCAATTGAATATCAATATCAATTGTCCTGCTATCCATCCGAATTGTTTATTACTTTACACACACGCACACACACACAGACACGCACAAATATATATATATATATATCACCAAATGTAATTCATGCAGCCTGTGGGTGATTTGCGAGGTTGCTTAGAAGAAGTTTAAGAACCCAGTTTACCCAGTGACCCATGAGGACAAGAAAAGTATTTGGTGAGTCGCTTACTTCTAGTAGGTTTCTAGAGACAAAAGTAAACGAAAACACAACACTAGACTTTGAAACAAAACAACAAAAAGTGAACTTTAAGATCCGGAGGCAAAAGGGGTCTGGAAAGGAAGAATCTATTCTCTAAGTCCTACAAAAGCATCCTCTTTCAAACACACCATCTTTGTCTCCAGGTTAAGAATCTTTCTCAAATATTTCCTCTCCTTTTTAGTTTTCTTCTTTCGAGCAAGGCCAAGAATCTTAATGGGTTCTAATGGCATGCCTGCAGGAAAGGTATTGCATCATCACATGGATTGTTTATGGATTGCCCTTCACTAATAATGACGTTACCCATTTTACTGAATTACATAATGTGGCCTCCTTCCCCACATTCTTTCCATCATTGGAATGCATGCCTCTTCATTTCTAAATAATAATAATGCTCAATAATTCCCAAATGGTCTTCTCTTCTTCTCTCTCTTGCCTTCTTCTTCTTCTCACCTTCTCTGTATTAACTTCCCATGGTATATCATCATCCACTGAGATGTTTGTCTTTTTTAGTCTTGAAAAGTTTAAACATATCTCAGTTATTGGCATGAAAACAGACAGCTTTTTGCTTGGAATATTTTTTATTAGTGTAAATGTGTTTCTCTAAACCAGCTTGTGTTTTTTCTTTGTTTGGGCTTGTTTGAAATGCAGTTATGGGGGATAAGTTCTTTACAGGAACATATGGAGTGAACTATGGTAGGATAGCAGATAATCTGCCTTCACCTCACAGTGTGGTTACACTGCTTAAAGCTGCAAAGATCAATAACATCAGAATATATGATGCTGATCAGAGTGTTCTCACGGCCTTCAAAGGGTCTGGGATTGCGATTGTGGTTGGACTTCCAAATGAATTCTTGAAAGAAATCAGTGTAGGGGAAGATCAAGCCATAACTTGGATCAAAGAGAACGTTCAGCCATTTCTTCCAGGAACTAAAATCAGAGGGATTGCTGTGGGAAATGAAATCCTGGGAGGAGCAGATTTGGAGCTCTGGGAAGTCCTTCTTCCTGCAGCGAGAAATGTCTACAATGCCCTTGATAGGCTTAATTTAGCGGATGACATTCAGGTTTCAAGTCCGCATTCTGAGGCTGTTTTTGCCAATTCCTTCCCTCCATCTTCCTGCACTTTCAGAGAAGACATTGTCCCATTCATGAAGCCTCTCTTGCAGTTCTTCTCACAGATTGGCACTCCTTTCTTCATAAATGCATACCCTTTTCTGGCCTATAAGAATGATCCTGAACATATTGACATTAACTATGCTCTCTTCAAGAAAAGCCCAGGGATTTATGATGCAAAGACAAAGCTTCACTATGATAACATGTTTGAGGCCATGGTTGATGCAGCCTATGCTGCTTTGGAGAAGGCTGGGTTTGAGAAGATGGAGGTTATTGTGTCTGAGACAGGTTGGGCTTCTCGTGGGGACGCGAATGAAGCCGGAGCCACAGTGGAGAATGCCAGGACTTACAATTATCATCTGAGAAAGAGGCTTCTGAAGAAGAAAGGGACTCCTTATAGGCCAAAGATCAAGGCAAGGGCTTATGTGTTTGCTTTGTTTAATGAAAACTTGAAACCTGGTCCAACATCAGAAAGAAACTTCGGATTGTTTAAGGCTGATGGAAGCATTGCCTATAACATTGGCTTCACGGGCCTAAAGGCTTCTTCAGCAACCTCTTCTCTTCTTTCCTTCAAGGTATGGAATACATATACCATGAAAATATCAATTCATGAGTATACTTTGTTTCATATTTCTTAAAAGTCATTAACTATTTGTAACCACTCTTCACATCTCTTTTGCCCTATATACCTATTATACTCCGTTTCAGGGGAAGCTTAATAAACCAATATGGTGAATGTTGCACCATATGTTCATTATTAGGTGTTATCTGATATAATTAGTAGCAGACACAGTCACAAGTTTCCTGCTTTAAGATACATGTTTCATTTTGGGGGGGGGGGTGTTAATCGCTGTTGGTCAATGTTTCTGACATGTATTTTGCCTTGCAGGGAATTGGATGTTCTTACATGTTGGCTATAACAACTAGTGTTGCTGTTCTTCTTTTAGTGTTTAATTATTGAGTCAGAGATTGAAGACACAAAGCTCACTGTCTAATGGACTTTTATTCTTTTCAATTAACCCTCGTCACAGAAATGTACCCTTGATTAGGCATTCCTCGTTATAGTTGATGATCCAATCTTCTTGTTTCTTTATTTTTCCCACCTCACATTTGAGCAGTGTAATATTTAATCATGTCTATTTAATCTATGATTCTTCTCAATGCCATAGCTTTCTAAATTAACATGATGGAAATTCAACTCATCAAAAGAGTTAAATTACGATGCAAATGATAGGAACATGTTTTTTCTTACCGAAAAGGAATTTGCAATAAACACATACAATAAAGTATTGACGAACAAATTAGTTCTATTTCTTTAATAATGGCACAATATTATAAGAAGAAGGGAGATAAATACATAATGTGGAGCCTGCTTATTTAGGTCACTCCATATATCTTTTTTTTTTTTTATAGCACCATATTGCTGTAACAGAAAATCATGATTTCTAATAAATCAAATTCGTCAACAAATGGAGAAAATGAAAGTTGAGAATTATTAGTACACAAATAAGTATGCATAGAAATTCACAGCTTTTGAGCAAACAGAAAAATCAACAACGTGAGAAAAACGAGGTTGCAGTGCAATTGGGTTTGGGAAGTCTGTGTTGACTTTGGGTAAATTAAGAAGGCTGAGGCTGGAGGGGAGTGACTTTCCACAATTCCAGCGCCTTGCAACCGAAAAGGCTAGAGTTCAGAGAACACAGGTGAACGTTGTTGAACTTTCTCTCCTGGGTCCCACGTGCAGACTTTGGCCCACGCTTGTGATGTGATTAAGATTTAAGACATTGCCGAACGATGCCCCCATCTTCGCGTTAAATTAGTTGAATTTTCAAAATTCTTTAATTTTAATTTGATATAATATTCCATCCTGCAATGAAATTCTCTTATTGATTTGAAATATTGTTTTTTTTTATAATTTTCTGGAAAATATTTTTAAAATTGAGAAAATAACTTGAGAAAACTTGATGTAACTAACAAATGCGCGGGGAGAAAGTATGAATTGAAGTCTCAGTGTAGGAAGGGCCGGGAGAAGAAACGTAGTGGTTTGACTGGGCTGGTGAGAAAGGAAAGGGCGACCCAGGAGTACAGGACGACCCGCATTCAACACAACACGGACCCACTTGAGTCCTCCCTTCCTACCGTGTTGAATATTCCACCCTCTTCTCTTATTTATACCCTCCATGCCTCCCCTTCCACTCATTCATTCTTCATCAACCTTCTCATTCTCATTCTTATACACACACACACATACTTGTTCTTCATATATCTCCATTCCATAACCATGGCCAATACCTGCCTTTCCCTTGCCGCTTTATTTCTTCCTTTTCTTCTTCTCCGTTGCGCCACAGCCGCCGTCCATGTCGTCGGAGACTCCACCGGATGGAGGATCCCCGATAATGCCCAATTCTACACTACCTGGGTCTCCGATAAAACCTTTCGACTCAACGATACTCTCTGTACGTCTATAATTTTATTTCCCATTTATTTATTAATTAATTCAAACCCTTTTCTTTTTTTATTTCTAGACTAACTATTCCCCCCCCCCTGCTTTTACTTTTGGTAGCGTTCCAATTCGCTACAGGTCAACACGACGTCGTCAAAGTGCCGAAAGCATCATACGATTCTTGCAGTGAAAATAGTAACACGCTGAAGGTCACCACCGGCCCGTATAACTACACCCTCAATGAAACCGGAAGCCACTACTTCATTTGCAGCTTTGGCCAGCACTGCCAGGGCGGCCAGAAATTAGCCGTCGTCGTCTCCGATGCTTCGTCTCCGACATCGTCGCCTTCTCCGACGTCGTCCACCCCCCAACCTCCTCCTCCTCCTAGTTCTGCAGCTTCTCGTGCCTTTGCTGGATTCATCTTCATCGTCGCTTCCGTTGCCTTAGGGAATCTCATCCTCTAGGTAGAAAACTATTACGATGGTACGTGATTTGAGAACGTGTGTGGAGAGCATGAAGAGAATTTGACAGTTCAGTTCATAATCAGTTTATTGTACCGGTGAAAGTTTTTGGTAGTGTTTGTGTGTTGCTATTCATCCATCTCCATTGCTTTGTATTATTGATGTCAGGTCCAGAATAAAATTTGATTTTAGGTAATTTTAATTTTATTATCTTGCTATTATATTCTCCACGAGAATTAATTTGGATTTATTAGCGAAGAAGCCAAGAAAGTTGACTCAGGCGAAGAAATTGACACTTCATTCCATTCGTTCCAATTGATTGCAGAGATCTGACGCCACCTTCCGCAATGAAAATTCGAAATGTCTATCAATAACTTTTTGGGTAATATTTTTTTTTAATTTGTAAGACATTTGTAAAAAAAAATATTTTAAAATGTAAGATATTTTAATAATATTTTTTTATTATATATTTTTTAATATTTTTTTTATAAAAAAGCATTAATTAAACAGAATTTTTAAAATTTATAGTTTTGTCTTAAAAAAATGAGATTGTAAATCATGCTCTTTCTGTTTTAAATTATAAAATACTTTTTAAAAAAATTTCACTCATCAATAAATCTCATTAAATATATTTAATTTTATTTTTTAAAATAAAAATATAAACTTTTAGAAATATCCATTATTTAATACTCCTTCCATTTCAAAATATAAGATACTTTGAGTATATTAAAGTTTAATTAAACGTATCAATTTTAATATTATGCTTCTCTCTCTCTCTAAACTAATTTCCATCACTTTTTTTGTCAATATATTAAATGATGGGTATTTTGAGAAGTTTATATTTTTATTTTGAAAAGATAAGGCTGTTAAATGTATTTAATGAGATTTATTGATATGTAAAATTTTATCTAAAAGTATCTTATATTTTGGATGGAGGGAGTATATTAAAAAGAGAAAGGATGAAAATTAATTATAGAGAGGAAAAGGGTAGTATTGAAATAAGCTTATTTAATAAAACCTTAATCTTCTCAAAGTATCTTATATTTTGGGATGTCAAATCTTCCCTAAAGGTATCTTATAATTTAAAATGGGGAAGTACTTAATAAATTTTATTAATATATATGATTTTATTTAAAAATATTTTATAAATTGAGATGAAGGGGTATAATTTTTCTCATACATATGCAGAATAAAATCCTATATTATGCAGTTGTTCGGTGTGCGCACACATAGAGTTCGAAAAGAGTTTGTATAATTAACGATGAGTTAAAAAGGCAAACTTATCCTGAAATTTTTTTACAAGAATTGCCTAATATTAAAATATTTTATTTAAAGCAATTTTATCATAAAACTTCAAAAGAAAACAATAATTTTGCCCTGCCGTCATTAGTTAACTGTGTGGTTATCTTTATCTGCCACATGGTAATTTTTTTTTTAAAAAAAAAAAAACAAACAAAGCTACGCATGGCCACCACTAAAGCTTCTCCGCTCCTTCGTCTTTCTCAATGTTCTCCTCTTCTCCATCTTCTTCCTCCTCAATTGTCATGAGTGAAGCTTCGAACCCTTCATTTGAGAGCAGAGCACGGAGTGAAAATTAGTGCCTCGTTCATCTGTGAGTAGAGTGTAACATCCTCTATCTTCAAGAAATTTTTTAAAATTATTTTTGAGTTTAAAAATAGGATAAGGTCGTGCTTGAAATAGTTTAAGATAGTTTGAGCTTAGGAAAAAAAAATCATAACATCTTAATTTTTAGAACTTAATTAATATTGGAAAGAGATTATGCCATGATAATTTGAATTTATCATCTAATTAGTTGAATAAGGAACATTTATACATAGAATGAAATAAAATCTGAGGATTTGATTTCAAGATATATTTTAGAAGAAAGAAAAATTTACAAGACTGGGTGAGATTAAATAAATATAATATTAACTTTCTCAAGAAATAATATTTATTTAAATTATACTGGAACCAAATATAATTAAGATTTTAAAAAACCTAGACTAATATCAAATATATTATATTAGAGGATTTAGATTAAAAAAAATAGATAAGCAATTACATTGATCCCACTACCTGATCTTCAAGAATCACCCTTCCACGCTTTGCTTTTTGACGACTTGCTCAACTTATCGTCTTTTCTTGCATGCATATGAAATTTGAAATAATCTTCATCTTTTTATCTATACTCATAAACATAATAGATTGTTTTATTAAAAAAAATATAATATATTATAAAATTTATAGAAATTTAGATCATGTGTTATATTGATTAACTAATTAAATTGCCTAGTGATCCATAACCTGAATATGGGACAACCAAGGTGTTACCTTGAGCAAGATTATTTGAATACAAAAAAGATGGGAATAAATGAGGCTTGCCATGACTAAATAATGATATTTCTAAATTTGTTGGCCGTAAATGATATTTTTAATCAAAAAATATGTGTTTGCATTTTTATAATTTACTCCCTCATATGTCTTTCTTATGAGAAATTTTTTAACTGGATAGGGCAGATTAAGGCGTATAGCTGATAATTGTAAATCATACCAATTAAGATTTTAGGTTTTCATAATTTAATATTTAATATTTTTTACTTATTAATTAGTCAATATATATATATCAATTCATATTTATTTTTTTATTAAACATCTCAATTGACTTTTGAATCAAATCATCCAATGAATTTCAATTTATTTAACTTGCCTATGAAAAAAAAACATTCAAATATAAATCACTTTATATTTACTGATTTTTTTTCTAATATTAATTTGCTAACTTTAATTGAATCTTAACCTCATTTGCAAATTTTTTAATCCAAATACTTACTTAGTTCTCTTTTCCACGTCGACAATGAGGGAAATTACAAGAGAACAGAGTGGGCGTTTGCAGAGTGGGTGAGAAGAAATTCTAGGGAAGCTATATAGATATTTTTGGATTAGACTAAAGCTTTTAAGGTTAGGTAAGTATCCTAGAATTTGTTCTAGTTAAAATCACTAATTTTAGATGATTTAAAATTTGAAGAATTGGATAGAGTTGTAGAATTGTTGAGTTATGACTCCATAACTATATTGAGATTATAGAAATAGTTTTTAGAAATTCTGAGTAACTTTGAGAGTTGTAAAAATTATTTTAGACTTCTGTAAAGCAATTTATAAATTAAAAGTAACTCTAGGGAATATATTATAACTAATTAAAATTTATTTTAATTATTTAGGAATGAAAATTTAACTTATTAAATGCTTTGAACTTATAGAACATGCTGACAAGTACTTTAAAGTTAAAAATTAATGGTTAATATGATTTAGAATTCCTTTGGTAAATCTATGGGAAGCTCTAAGATTAGAAACATCTAAAATAAAATGAGTAGAGTTTAATGAAAATAGTTCTAGAGTTAAATATAACTTCCACGAGTATTTGAAATAAATTGAGATTAATAAATAATTAAAATAATTTTTTTGTAATCCTAATTCTTTAAATTATTGTTTGGAAAGGTGTTAGCAGTTGTCTAAGGGACCTCTTAATTTCGCTTTGATGTCTAAGTTAGTTAGAAGATCTCTTATAGAGAGATCTTGGATTCTTTTAATGAACTAGAACCTAGGTAATTTCTTTTAAATTACTCTGCATGCATCATTTGGCAAGTAGCCATTTTAATAATACTTACAATGAATTGAATTTAATAAGCATGTCTATTATAAAATATTTTTGTGAGAACTCAGTCTAGTAATGATCAAAAGGACTTGGAACCTTGAATAATATAATGCTTAATATAACCCTTCAGGAGTACTACTTGACTGGAATTACATGAAATTTAAGATTAGATAGATAATACTATTTGTCACACAAGCTAGTTGATGATTGATTGGCATGTGCTTACTCTTAATTGTGACATTGCATTTTGTTTATGCTGACTAATATATAACAACTGTCATATGTGTATCATGAGATGGCTATAAGTAATGGGTTAAATTGAGGAAATAAGGTTGGATCGTGATCACATACTTGCTCCCATGTGGCATGCACTGAGAAGCTATGAGTTGTACTTGTGTTACCCTGAGCCATTCGACTAGGGTCAGGTCAAGTTTGGTACTATTTGGGCACCCCTTATAGTCGAAAGGAGGAGATTAAGGTTTGATGTGGAGCGATGGAACTTTTAGGAAGGCACTATCTCCTATCACTTAAAATCTCAGCCTGTGAAAATAAGGAGAAGATAAGGAAGAAAATAGAGGATAATAATGAATATCCTGACCATCCTGTTTTTCTAATATGTTTTTATAACTACTTATGAATAGAATATGGATCACGTTATGATTGTGGTTGCTAGTCTTTGTTGTTTGAATGACAAGATTATGGTTATATATATATATATATATTAGAATATGCTTGTGCAATTCTAACATTAAATATATTAGATTTTTCCTAGTCAAGTATGCCAATTATATTAATTGTTAACAAAAAAGGTAATGTTTTCTTTTCTTCCACATTATGAGAATAATGTTAAAGTGATTATTTGTGAAAACTCACCAAACGAAGTTACCTACCAGTTTTGGATACACCGTAACCTTTAAGAGGTTATTAAAACCCTGTCTCATCCTACTTTTATTTAAATGTTGTAGGAATAACGAGCAGAGCTTCAACTAGCGAGCAGACATTGGGACCTACAGCTTCTTGAGGAGTATGGCCCAGAAAGACAAACCCTATTGCTACTCTTAGGATTTACATTTTTGTTTTTTTTTATTTTGACTTTATTGAATAATAAGATTTGTTATGAATTATATTCTTTTAGCCTCTAGGCCCCAGGGTGAGGGGATTTGACCAGAGGCATTGCTGCTTTATTTTTCATTTATTTATTTATTTTTATTTCATCTGAGATTGTTGATCATATAACTATGGCATATGTTTGGAAGAGCTAAATTATATAACTAATTGTTAACATAATCAGAGTAGGCAGAGCCTATATTAGGTTGTCATGGTTATTTCCCTGATCGGATTGTGTGTTGGAAAATCTACATGAGGGCATGTATTTGAAGCTTATATACAATTGATTCCTTTCTTTCATATTATGGTAGACTGCACGACGGAAGGTTCACTTCTTTTCTACTATAATAGATGTGAACTTAGTTGTTAAATATTTAAAATAATACTTTTAGTTTTTTCTACTATAGTAGCCCAATTATTGTGTAAAAATATTTTTC